TTAACACATACGTGAACAAATATGTTTACGAGCTCTCATAAATGTCCACAAGATGGCGCAGTTTCCTCACAGAATCTCATCTGGTCCTGCCCTAAAAAAGGAAGTCATGTCTGCTCTCCTAAGTGTTATTCAGCAGTGGTGGAAAGTAAATATTTACTCATTACAGTACAAATCTGTGGCATACTCATTATACGCTACTTCATGCTATTCCTCTATTGTAACACTGTACTACTTTACAATCAGATTTTCCAATAACTTAATGATGAGCTTGAAAATATAATGCATTGACCACCCCTCAATATATAAAGGAGTTCAAACATGCTCCACCACTGCCAGCCACACATTATAGCATCACTTCATAAACAAATATTATAAAAACACTAACAGTGGCCATTCTACATGGGGAATATTTTCAATTGTGATACAAGTTCATTGTGCTGATAATTGTTACAGCATGTACTTTTACTTAAAAGAGCAGTGTGTAGGATTTAGTGGCATCTAGCAGTCAAGTTGCGGATTGCAACTAAGTGAACATCGCTGGCATCTTCATTTGACAACCTAGGAATGAGAACAGGCTGTAACGTGTGTAGGAGGAACTACGGTGGACAAAAAAAACGTGTTTGGTTTGTCCATTCTGGGCTACTGTAGAAACATGGCGGTTCAACATGACAGATTGCATGTAAGGCAACCCATGGTGTGTAGATAAAATGGCTCATTCTAAGGTAGCGAAAACAGGATTCCTATATTCAGGTGATTATACACTATGAATATTATATTCCATTCCTGCCAATAAGCATGTATCACTGATCCACATTATATTGACCATCTTTATTGATGACAGTAACAAAGTGCACAAGCATTAAAAACAACAGAAACCACAATGACTGTATTGTTAAAACACAAAAGAGAAAAGAGACTATAAAAAAGATTATAAAACAGTACTACTGCGGTACTCTTGTCATGATTCCATCATGCAGCAAACCAATACAGCCTCTAGAGGCAACCTGTGCCTTTATCTTTCTGTACCATAAGTGAAGGGAAATGCAACATGGAGTTGCCATCAAAATAATTTGGTCTCCATATTGAGCAGTTCCCATGTATAGTCCTATACAAAGTGCTAACCAAATGAAGAATAATGTGTGCCTGCAAATACTACTTTTTGACATCCAGAGGACATTAATATAAAATGTGTGTATGTATGTATGTGTATATATATATATATATATATATATATGCAAAAAGCAATCTCTAAAGCACCATTTTCGGTCAAACACATTGTGCAAATTCATTTTTTGAAATGTATTGCATAACAATGAGACAATTACTTAATTAAAAGTGAAACATTTATAAAACTGCACTTAGTACACTGGACATAGAAGTAATTCTAAGCCAACATGAATTCCTCATATGGTCAAAAACAGCCTTTCAAAATTAAATTTGCATAAAACGGCAATATCTCACAGCACAGTATAGCACTGCGTTCAATGCAGTGTGGACATACCTGATGTCTGAGTTTTTAAAAAACAAACAAAAAAACTATAAAACAATAAAACGGGGGTACATATTGTAATAAATCTGCATCAGCATTAAAAATGAAAAGTCAATATCACACAGTAATATAGCAAGTATCCAGTTGCCTATGTTCAGCCTGTGTATAAGGTCCCAAGGTGCCTTTCTACAAAGCTGGAGGCTGGTTATACAGGCTGGAAGGGACTCCCACAGAAGCGTGTAGAGTTGCTGGGATAAAAACTTACAACAGTGTGCACTGCGGTGATCGCAAGTTGTGTACCACACTATGGCCTCATGAGGCCAGATGTCAATACAGGAATTAGCCAGTTGCGAGACATTTTGGAATTGCTCAACAACCGAGCCAGTCCTTTGTGATTTCACCCAACTTGACAATCTTCAAGCTGTTGTCTTCCAGTTTGAAATAGTGGTTACCTTTGAAGAAGTAGCTGTAATCTGTGAAAGGCAAGCACAACGCACACTGTGTTTAAAATATTTTAAATTGCTTGTGTAAAACAAGTAAAAAACCATGTACCACAACCATGAAATAACAGTAAAATGATCAAGATTCAACGAAAGCATAGACTAACTGTAGAATCAGTCTCAGGCTCTGCTGAAGCAAATGTTAAGCCTCTTTCTCAGAATCATACTAATCAGGAAGCATACAGAGGCACCTCTGTAGAGGGGCACAGACTTGCTTTATAGTAATATGTTTGTTTACTGTGTGGGGGAGGGGCTATGTGATGCTTACGGTAATGTGTGTATGTTAGGAGAGCAGTAATGGAAAAATCCCCAGTTGCTTGCCATAGACAAAAATGTACATACCACCTCTAACCTCAAGGGTACATGGCTGACAGTGACAGCCTCAGAGGAAGTTTACCGGTGGTATTATAATGAAAATTCACCACCATATATTTCTTGCACTCTAGTTGCAATGCACTGCTCACCAATGAGTAAAATACATATTAAAGGAATTCTTCTTCTTCTTAAAATGAACATTAGCCATCGTGTGGTAGGCTATTCACTCACAGCAAATTCAAAACTGGGCAATATCAAGCAACTGCCTCCCTTCTGTCTTCTATCAACATCAGACCACAGATGACTCCCTAACTTCAGCACTCCCTTTGGCCTGTTTTACTTCCTTTCATCGAACAGTCAGTTCCCCTAAACTGTTCATTTCTGGGTTATGACGCTAAATTGCATTTTATTGGTTGCTGGGTTGTGGGATATAAGGAGTTTTATTGACAGAGGCACAGTGCCCGACTCGCTGATAAAGCTGTCTGGATTTGCCTGTAATTTAACCAGAAGGAATGCTAGTCTGAAGACGGTAAACTAGCACAGAGCACCAGCCCTAATCCACAACCCCATAAATCCTTTTCCCCCTAAGACTCAGAAACAAATTGTGGGCCGAGGATATGTTTTGCTATTCTGTCTCTATTCTTTGATATACAACCAATACATTGATCATTGCTGGTTTATTTCTATAATTATTTTATAGCCCTTCCGAGAGTGACTGGTACATTGGTGTAGTATTTATTTCATGTTGTAAAAGATGACTTTATGTTTGCAGAATTCATATTGTCAAAGAATGATGTGATCATTTTTAGTCACACTATCCACACGGGTCTAGGGAAAGCATTGTCTGTGTCTTGCTCACTTCACCATTTGGTCCTGACTGAATTATCTCTCTATTTCTGACTATTTGATGGATTGCCATGAAATGTTGTACAAACATTCATGGTCTCTAGAGGACCATGGAGACTGACTTTGGTAAGCCCTTGACCTTTCCTTTAGTACCACCATTGTTGTTTTTAGTAAAATACAGTACAGATATTGAAGAGGCAGAGAGGATGAATTTATAATGACTTCTATAATGATCCTCTGACATTTTATCTAGTGTCACTACAGGGTTGACATTTGTGGTTTTAAGTGAAAAGTCTGAAACACTAGTAGATGGATTGCTACAAAATGTGGTACGTAAATTCCTCTTCTCCTCAGGATGAACTGTAACACCGTCTGTGTTCCTCTGATTATGTTTTTGTTTATTCTAGTGTCCAAAACATGGTTTGCACTTTCCCATCATCAAAGAACCATGCTGCAAAACTTCCATTATGGTCCTTTAATTTTCTAAAGGGTTTAGTTGATGCATTTATAACTCATGCTGCAAGTTTCTGGTCAAATGTTCCTTCTTAAAATCATACAAAGCCTCTAAATTCATAAGTTATTTTTTTCTTACCAATGCCATTCAGACTGAAGGCAGAGTCTATGCCATCTGGGAGGCCATTCCAGGAATCAGCAATAAGTTTGGGGAAGCCAGGGTCCATCCTCTTCCTATCTTCATCGTATCTGTACACAAAGTAAAAGTGCATGGTTTAATGAGCGCTACACAGTTTCCGCACACATACACACTACTCATACTTTTCCATGGAGATAAAGCAGTTAGTCGTCAACACTGTGAATCTCCATGTTGGGCAAGGGCTAACAGAGCTGTTGTGGTTTGCAGTACAGATTAGGTCACACTGAACACTAACCAGCTCCAGATGTAGCCCAGTACTGCAGTAAGAGGTGCTGACATCAACAAACAAGCTAGGGTCCATCAGACAAGGGTTTAAGGCTCACAGATAGTTTCAGTAGCTTTGCTCCTCCTCACCTCCAGAATTTGTCCTCAGCAAACAAGTAAGTCTTCCTGTTCTTCCTGAAGTTGAAAGCAGCATCAATTTGCTGCAGGTCAGTGGGGAGGTCAAGGCTGGAGAGCCTCTTTGGATAACCTGTCTCCAATGCATCTGCTTTGTAGACCCACATCTCATTGCCTGTGAGGGAGGAACAAGTAAAAAAAAAAACATTGAACCATGGCTTCAACCTTCTTTTAACACAGAACCATCTGATCAGGGTGTTATAACATATTCCTCCAAATGTATTAACCAATTATATTATATCATCAGTCTGAGATCATGCCTTAACCAATCAGGGTAGTAAGTTTCTCCTATACCCAAACCAGCTCTGCTGTTAATGTCTTCAAAGCGTGCAAATATATTATGTAAATTTCATTAGTATTCAGGAAGGTTGTCATATTGGTAAAATGTGAAGAATGTATCATAAACCACTAATAACTATGCTTGAATATCTTAAGTGTCCCAAGAGTGCACACCACACTCTTACACGCTGAGCCAACATTCCTGCTTCTCCTAATGTTTCAGTTCGTAGAAACGCCTGACTGTTAAGGGAAAGGCATCCAAATGGTAAAAGAGTGAAGACACCTTTTTGTTACTCACTGAAGTGGAACTGTCTGTTTCTGTGATTACCACAGAAGTATAGGGAGGATAGGAACAGGGTGCACAGTTCATGCAATTTGACATCAATATTCAGCAATGTCTAAATCTGCCATTTCTTCGCAGTGTCTTTTCTCCAGCGTACCTGAGAAGAACACTGTTTTTTCCTCCACTGGATTTTCATAGGCAGCATCTATCTTGGACGGCAGGTCTGGCCAGTAGGTGGCCACTAGCATTGGGCCATTGGGCTTGCTTCTGAAGTTGACTGACCTGAACAGGAACCTGGCACAAAGAGAATGAGCGGGTGAGTGATCGTAAGCTTGATGAGCTGGGGATGAAATGAGAGTGAGAGAGAAAGAGGGGCTGAGGGGGTGATGAGGAGGTGGGGGAAGTGTGTGTGTGTATGTGTGTGTGTGTGTGTAAGAGGAGATTTTAGTGCAAGTGCTTCACTGGCCGAGCCAGCCACAATGGCCTGATTCATGAGCATCTGGTTCTCGTTAGGACTAAGGCTGCAGACGCCAGCGGAACAAGACCTATCTTGCCCGGATTTCCAATACACAGCTGCACAACAACGGCAGCTTCCCAAACTCTTTTCCACTGACCTATTTTTTGAAGAGAAAAAAATCTGCCAAATGCAAAAATGAGTTGCAATAAAGATAAAGTGAAGATGAGAATAAAACTTTACTAACATACATAGATATCCTCAGTGTTGTTTGCATTTGTCAGGATGAAACAAGAGACATACTTCAATCTGAATTAGCCACCTATATATTATATTCATTTAGCAGTGTTTTTGTGGATCTATTTAAGTTCATGTGATGTACCAACAATATCCAGGAGGCTTTTCTGTCTTTTCCTCTAGTCTCTTAATATAACACAAAAAAATAAATAATCAGCCTAAGTTTTTGGTTAAGAGGACAGAATATAGTGATTTTTCCAAACCATTGCTGACACTTCAAACCTTCAAAATGGTAACCAGTTTATCTTGCATTTGGTGTTATCTAAGTAATGTCAAAACTGTGTGGTAATGCATTACGATGCAACAATAATGTAATAAAAAACTTAAATGGATTTCTCACACAAGTTTTACATCAGAAAACAGTTTAAGTAATGTAAATATGTGATTTGCTGTAAATGACAACACGCAAACACACTGTAGCGAGCGTATCAGTCTTGCTGTCCAGAGGAAACCTGTTTGGGCAACAGATTCAATAGAAAGGCCAACTGGCAGTTAACTGGGTGTTCTCAGTACTCTGTGAACTAGCCTATTTTTGATACTATTATGGTCAGTATTATTTCTGCAATAGCCATTCAATTTGTGGTATTCATGGGAAAAGGCATGCATGTAATCCAGTGCGATTTGATGTCCTTGATATCCAAGACTAAAATCTTAAGGATTGCAACTTAAACTAAATACTGTATATGGCTTCTGTTGGCTACATGCTACGACGCAAGCATATGAGCAGGTTGGCCAAACTGTTTCTATAAGACAGACTTCATAATTGCCTTCTCCTTAATCCCCCAGACAGACAGACACAGTTTTATGCTGAGCTCAGGGAGTGCTACAAGCATTACTCACTGTATCAAGTCAAGATTTGTCCTACATCATAAATATGCTGAGCCAGAAAAAGGGGAATCTTACATTTACAATAGCGTGTGTCAAGTGAGAATTAGCCCTGGAACCCAGAGAGCAGCGCTTTTTCTCTGAAGCTATAAAACTTTGCTTGTACCAGAGCTCTACAGCTTGCAAACCTGACATGACCTTCAGGCAACTCATTAAGTCTTTGTGAAGGTCAACATAACAGGTCCATACTGAAACTTTACTAATCTCAGCCTTCAGATAGATATAATGGTCATCTGAGTACCTTGAGATTACTTTGTCCTCAATTTCTCCCCCTTGCCTTCACATCAGCTCTCAGCACATTTTCACATAGCAACTTTAAGGAAAATCAAATCAGAAAAATATCACACAGAGTCTTGTATGGTAACACAAGAGAGCCAACAAACACAGTGAGCTGCAGAACATGGCCGAACCTGAAGCAAAATGGCCTTTGGATATCAATATCTAAATAAGGTTTCAGTTAAGCAAATGCAATATCTGTATGCATATTTCAGCTACTGTACACAGGCCAATGTGCCTCTCCTCAATGGCTGAAAACTATTTCTTTTGGATTATGATAGTTTACACATCTGTTGAAATGAGCCCAGCTGCAAATACCCAAAGAGTGGTGTAGTCCCTTGGCTCAAATAGAACATAATTAATATCATAGCTACCAATACCCCACAAGCACCCAAATGGCATTTTGGCATCTGTGTGCTCCAATTAATGATCATAGCCATGCTATACATTGATATGCATTATAAAATGAACAGTTCAGATGGTTATCAGGTGCACTCATCTATTGGTTGTATAGTTCATAAGTTTTATTTTCAGACTACTAAAGCATTATCTGAGGAGTCTGGTGAACCGCAGAGAATAGCAGAGAATAAAGATCAGCCCAGGTTGATTTCCAAAAACAGGCCAACGGTTGTCTGTGCTGCTTTGACGATCATTGCAAATGTGCTGAAGAGAGCCACAGCAAAGTAATTCTGTATTAAACCAGGATTTATGAGAAGGATTGTGGCCTGTTTCTCACAGTTTCTAACTTAATGTTCTCAGAGAGGAAAACCAGGCTGACTGAAAGACTACACTCTTTGGTACAGAGGTATGCTGGCCTGTTTGCTTTGGACACATTTCCAAAATGGCCATGACAGATATACAGCTCTGTTAACCTTAAAATTGCAAGGAGTTGATGTTTCAGCACAGCTAGAAGTGTTAACACATCATAACTAACAAGGATGCTGTTTGTCTTTTCTATCAGTTCCATTTCTACCACATTACTGTTACATTACTGTTACTGACTCTCAGGAGAATTTGTCTATAACGAACTTCAGCTGCTGTGATGCTGGTGTTCACCGTCCTACGGGAAAACACTCTGACTCACAAAGACGGTTGACGAAAACACAGCACTTGATGAAACTCCTCTTCTACAGAAGGTCAGCCAGTAGACACAGTAAGCTTACAAGACTTTGGATTCACTGGCGCCGGCGAAGGAAAGGACTGTGTTTAGGACTGATGACTATTTTGGTTGTCAGTGCACGAGTAGAGGAATAGTTTGTTTTTCCCTCTTACTAATTGTCACATCATGAAACAAACAAGCATCTGAACCACAATGTTCAAGTGGCACAGAGAAACTATAATTAACAAGAAACTTCACGTCAGACTGCTCATTGTTTGTGGGGAAATTATTATGAAATCCATGCTGGCTTATTTCACACATAAGTCATAAAACTAGAAGCAGGCTATTGGGTTTTGTTTGTCGTTCTTCCTGTAGATCACAGACAGGAAATTCAACCAGACTTTGGCAGTGCTTGCAAGTTTCAAGAGAATCAAACATGGACTTCATGTTGCATTTATGACTCAGCGAGCTAATGAAAACATTGCAGCTAGAATATCCAAACAACATGGTCAGGAACCTTGATTCGTGATGGATTCATTGTTCCTGCTCCAACCTCATTGTCCCCATTGCACCTCATGTCTCAGAGTGGCTTATGTACACTTGCTAAAGTCTAGTTCATGTCAAAACAACATTAGGACTTCTTGTTTGATTTGATTACCTGTCCTTGAAGAAGAAGGTCTCCCCTCTGATCTGTGCTATAGCATCAAAGATAACTGGCTCTTTACAGATGTCCATTGGAGTGACTGGGCCCGAGGTTGGAGGCAAAGGCTTGTCTGTTGGCACACCTGTTTACAAGAGATTTCCCAGAATATTTCACCTCGGAGGGAGTAATTACACTCACAGTACATTAATCTTTCCTGGCTTCTAATAAGAAAATGTTTTTCTTTTTTTTGTTCTAGTATTAGGCTTAATCCCTGTCCAGGAAACTAGCCGCACATGACATTTCATCTCACCGTAGAGCTCCTGGATGCCTTTGATGTCATCCTGAGAAAGTCTAAAGTCCTTAGTGTAAGTGTAAATGGGGGCCATCAATGCTCCAGGGTCCTGAGAGTGCTCCAAGCCAAGGGCATGACCAAACTCATGGGCTGCCACCAGGAACAAACTGTAGCCTGGAAACAGACAGTGAATACCCCTTAATAACAAGTAGAACATGGGAATTGGATAATATGGATCAGTCTTTCAGTTGTTAGCTACAGTGGTTTTACTTAATGTTCATTCATCTGATGGTGAGACACATAGGTAATACATATTGTTTATTGGGAGTGCCAAATGACTTGCATTCACCTCATCAGGACAGATAAACCTAAACCTACTTCCCTGTTTATCAGTAATGTGCCTGAAGTAAGGGCGACAAAATATGTAATGCATAGTTTTCTGTAATTGTCTAAACTATCTGGCACTCATTGTCCCTCATTTAGTGGCAAATTCACTTCCCAGAACTACAACAAGAAATGTCACATAAACTATTCATACCTTGGTCAGGACAGAAACCCCATTTGCGGTCATCATCATAGCTCTTGGTGCTGGCGCACCACATTTTGCCATCGCTTCGTCCAGATGTGGTGCAGGACTCATAGGTGTCTCCCAAGAAGGTGAAGGGAAAGACACAGGGGCTTCCCTCTGCATTTCCTCCCACTGTTGACATGGCTGGAGGGAGTAGAAAAAGATAAAACTGCAAATGTGAAATGTTGATCACTGGTCCACTGCACTGTCTAATGAACACATTCATATGCCAAAATGTTTCTTCAGAACAGTTCGGTTTGTATTATATTTTGAAGGGAGCGCAAATGATGTTGTAAACAGCATCATGAAAGCACTGGCACAAGACACATGACATCAATAACTACTCCACTGGGCACAAAACCAAAAAGCACCCATCCAAATTGATTTTCTTTCAAAGAGATAATTTTCAATCTGGCAAGACTGGTTTTGAGCTGTGTTTTTTTCATATATATATAATTTCATATTCAGCACAAGCTATCGCACACAGCTTTACAACAAAGCTACATTCCTAATCAATTAGAACCAGATGAAAGCTCAAGTGGTTGTACCTCTCTCCATCTATCTCACTGTCTCTCTCCCTCCCTACCATACTACCTCAACCTTAAAACCAGTCCCACTGACAAAATGGAAAATAAGCCCTGCCACTGCACATTAAAATACTTTCACAGCCACTCAGCAGACCACGAGCAAGACCGAAAGCCCCAGCTGGAGCATTCCTGTAGACCAAAGCACAGGAGGGCACCATATACTGCACATCAAAATAAACGTAGCCAGTAAAATGCACTGTATGCATCTAAGCAAGCACATAACCCTTAAACAGCACACTTAAACAGAGGGCAATGTACGACAACAATGCACAACAGAATGGTACAATAATCTATTATGTGATCAGCATAACAGGCAGTAGATGACACCACTTACCAGTTTCAGGGCAGAAACCGAAGGATTTGTCACGGTCATAGTCCTCAGTGGTGGCACACCAGCGGTAACCATCATCCCTGCCTTCAGTGGTGCATCCGTCATACTTCACTCCCTGAAAGTTGAAGGGAAATTTACATGGAGCGCCATCTCCGTTGCCACCCAAGGTGAATAGTACTGTAAAACAAAAATCAACAAATACAAAGAAGTGTTATAGAGAAACAAGTAGCATTATACATATTACATTTTCAAATTTTTTCAATGCTTACAAAGAATAA